GCGCAGTGCTGGGTGTGGCCTGCGCCCAGCCCTGTTCCCAAGCAGCAGTGGCAGCCTCTTGTCGTCCGACGCAGATATGGGGGCCCGCATCCCTGGGAGGAGTCTGGCACAGCCCTGCAGCCCTCCCAGGGGTGCGAGCCCCTGGATCTGTGCCCAGATGACAGGAGGCTGCCGCCGGTGGCTGGGGCCGAGCGGGCAACAATTAACAATGTTTTGGGCATCAATCCCCTTTATAGCCTATGGTTGAAACGAGTCAAAACAACACGATTTCGATGAAACAAAATGGGACAGTGCTTTGAAACGAAACAATGAAACGAAACACTGTCCCTTTGAAATGGCGAAAAGGACATCGAAACGAGATGATGGTGTTTCGCATGGCCCTATTAACTACTTCTAACAGTGTGATTTGCCTCATAGTGGCCAGGGACCTGGGATCAGCCAGCCGTGTTGGATAATCTTACCCACAAAGGCCCTAATAAGGGTGGCTTGTGAGATGTTCCTGTGTCAAACACAAAAAGAGGTGCCCTAGCATCCTGACTGGGCTAAGGAATTGCTTTCATTTGAGTTGATGCATCAAAGAGCCTGAAGAGGTGCTGGATTTTTTTCTGGGCTGCTTAAGGAGCCTCACAGCTCTCCCCCCGCTTCCCACCCGCTTTCTTTCTCTTTCCGACCTCTACTGAAAAACTGTTCTGTGATTTGGTTGTCAGTTGCCTTCGCTGTAGGATCCCCATCAGCTTCTCTTGCATTGTCAAAGTGTACTAAGTAGTTCCTTTCTTACTACTCCAATAATTGCAAGAATCCATTGTCCTCCACAAATCCTTTGCTAGCTTCCTTGCCTCTGTCCATTTTAGTTTCCATCTTCACCTTCAGGAATCTAAATAGCTCAATTCCTGTATTTGTTTCCATTCTTTTGGTCTCTGGCACTGTATTCAGTCCTCTCCAGATTGCCCCTCCGCCTGTCCCCTGATCCCACTCTTTCACCTTTCTTTAGTCTTCTCCCAACTCTTAAACTGCTTCTTTCTTTTCTCTCCCAAACTCACTCTTTTATAAAGCTTTTCAATGTTTCCTTTTCCAGATCTACCATTTTGTATTTTGACTCATTTGAAGTAAAATCTTGTAGTCCCTGTTCAGTTAGCTCAGACCATCAGGCAGTGGGTGGACAAAACTGCCCTGCGAAGGTCATTCAGAGTCAGCAAACTGCAACAAATAAAGACAGCGCTTGTATTTGACATGTGAATTTGAAGGGAGTTTTGCCAGAGTAAAAGCTAAAGGTTTTGTATTGTAAACTCAGTGAAGCAGAGACTGTCTTTGGTAGTTGTGAGACATGGTATACAGTAATGCCTGTATGACAAATTATAATGTAGTAAAACATTAGCCAGAGCCTGTTACATTTTCTTATATTTGATCTCTATCATCTTTGCTGAGTTCTGTACTTTGGCTCTCAGTTCCCCTTATATCTGATTTGCATGCTTGCTCTCTGTATAGCAGAGTACAGAAAACTTAATTTTGTAACTGTTAGATACACAGTGTTGAATCCAGGTTTTACATCTTTTACAGGTCTTATTGTTAGCTTTAATATTTGTCTTTGGCTTGTAAATGTGGGAGGGGAAGAGAGAGAACAGTTTGAATGTCTTTTATATGAGGGAGGGGGGAAAAGCATGTGTAAAGTTGTGTAGGAAGCTGTTTCTTGAAACTGTTATTGCATGCAGCTCAGGTGACTCTTGGCTTTACTTAAAAATCTTACATTGTAAGACCTTGCACATAGTGTCTGTGTCACATGAAGCTGTTCTCCAACTCTCAGCAAAGTCTAATGGATGCTAAATGTCAACAGCTTAATAGAGTAAGGTTTAGATTACAGAGTAGAGAATCAAGGCTTTTTTTGTGAAAACAAGGCTATTTTACAGAGCATTGTAATGCCTAGACCTTCTAAAGTACTTCATGAAGTATCATAAGTTAAACTAAATTACAGTTGTCAAAGTAACAGAACAATATACATTTCATGACACAGACACACTGTCTTTACTCTCCTTCATTTGTCTAACTCATGAAAGTCCATAGTTTTCAACAGTCTGTCTAATTAGTCTTGCTAATGAGTGAATGTCTACTATATCTCTTGTCACTCAAAAGCTTGGGCTTTACCCACAGAATAAGTTTCAGTGTATAATGTAGTGGTGCTCTTGTTGGGTGCAGGCTGCCTGCTGCAGGCTTGGGCTCTCCGCGCTGCTGCTTTCCACTGGGGCATCTGTGACCCAGCGGGTGGGACCTGGTGTGGCAGGGTAGAGTGGGGCTGGTTGGGAGAGCTCAGTGCCACTGCAAGCCCCGCACCACCATGGCAAGGTGCCTTCTTCCTGCCCTGCAACAGTGAGAGGCACAACTCTGCACCAGGTACCCCCTAGATGCTGTCAGACAGGCAGGGGGCACTTCACTAGGGTGACATGGGGCTCGCAGCAGCAAGGAGCTTCCCTGCCCAGCCCCTCTCTGCTCTGCCATGCTGGGTCCCACCCAGTGGGCTGCAGAGGCCCTGGAGAAAGGCAGCAGGGCAGGGAGCCCAAGCTTGCCTCAACCCCTCCAACGCACAGATCTTGTCTGGCGGGGGGAAGCACATGCCCCCCATGCCTTCCCCTGGGAGTGTATGTAGCAGTGGGGAGCCAGCCCCACCACCCATCCCCCAGACAAGATGCTCTTGTCTCTGTCCCGCTCCCCGCCGGGGCCCTGTGGCTGTGCATGGCCTCAAATAGCCCCAGCCGGGCAGCGGCAGCAGCCCCAGCCCTGCCCAGCTCCCTCCTTCCCTCCCTTCCTGTGGGGGCCTCCATCCCTGTTCCCCATGAGACTTACCTGCAGGGAGCTGCTCTCCAGGTTGCCTGGCAGCCATGTGCATGCCCACCTGTGCACATGGTGCCCTGTGCACATGGCTGCCCTCCTCCTGCTCCCATGAGCCCCTTGCAGGCTGGAACTCTGCCAGCCTGCAGAGAGCTCTTTGCAAAAATGGAAAATTTGTGTGATTCTCTGTTAAAATGCGAAATCCTGTGTTTTTCTCAAAAGGGAAAATCTGTGGATTTTTTTTCCATTTTCCTGTGGGAAATGGAAAACCCGGATCCCTGCTTAACACTAAATCTCACCTCGGCCTCCCTTTTCCAGTTTTTCCGTTGTTGCATTCTTCAGTCTGTTCTGTATGCATAGAGCATTCTCTCCGAAATAGTCCCAAGAGGTGTTGTTCAGTTCGTTTAGTCAGTCCTCAGGACTTCTGCAATGACATCTTTAGTGATTAGTGAACTAACAGTAGCTGTTGGAGAGGTGACTTTGCCAAAGTTTTTGTGGATGGTGGAATCATCGGATTGTGCACGTAGCCATAAATACTCCTAAATTTGGTACCATTGTTCTTGTCTTCCCCTTCCTATAGTTTGTCACACTTGTATGAGCTCAGACTTAGCTTTTTAGGGCATTGGGCCATGTCTTTGTATGTGGATAATGCCTAGTACTGTGGGCTCCACCTTAATAGTATTACTAATTGAACAGATGTAGCCATTACCTGGAGCTAGCAAGTGTGCTCTGTCTTGTGTTTGTGCCTTTCTGTTGCCCGTTCCACACACACATCCACTTCCATGGTTAGCTTATTATACAGCTTTAGAGACAGCTTCAGGTAAGGAATGACCCCAAGGGTTTTGTTTCTCTGACCAGAGCTGCAAAGGACTTGGCCCAGCAGAGAAAAAGGGTGACTCCCACTTCTAAGAATAACAGACAAAGCTTCTTGGGAGCTCACTGTCTCTTTAAGGCACAGTGTACACTTAAAACATTGTCTTGGCATATCTGAGCTGGTTGTTGTCACAAGGTGTCTTTACTGGAATAATTATGCTGCTGCTGGTGTGACTGTATGTGGTATTGCATATAGCTTATACCAGAATAAAGACCAGGCCATATAGCTTATACCAGAATAAAGATGTTGGTACTTGGTACCAACATCTATACCAGATGATGTTGCTGGTTAGCTTGTACCAGCAAAACGCCCCCGGTGCTGGCAAAGTAAGTTTCCTGAGAAACTTGTGAAGACTTGAGACATAGCCCTCCACCACAAATTCGTTAGAAGCTATCCCAGGTCAACCCAAGGAAGATAACTGATGGTTAAGTGGGGGTGGAATTGGGAAATGGGCAGAGATTTGCAAAGACTCAGAGTGAAGCCTACCTCAATGAAGCTGAGCTCCTGAGGACTTCTTTTGGTTTGCAGAGAGTTGATCAGAAAAGGGGTAAATCCCTCCATGGCTTGGCGAGTTCACTTATAGCCTTTCATTTTTCAGAGGTACTGGGCACGTCTACATATGCGATGGATTGCGCAGTTGTTACTGTGCCGTCATTTAGTATTTGCTTAAGCAAATACTAAATGACGGCACAGTAACCGCTGTTGTTGCACAGTCCTGGCACCGCACAGGTCATTTCTGGCACTACTGTGCAGTAGCTTGTTGCTACTGTGCAGTAGCGTCAGTGTCACGATTTGTGCCCACCTGCCAACGCTACACCACCGTAGCTCGTCACTACAGCGACATAGCATCTCACATAGATGTGCCCACTGAGACTTAAGTCCAGTGGGAGCTGTAGTTGCTCACTAGCTTTGAAATCAGACCACCAATCTCTCTGATTTAGTTACCCCCTTCTATAAAATGTGAAGAACGTGTGGCTACTTCATGGAAGAGTTGAGAATTGATCTTGTAGTATTGCATGCTGGAAAAGCTCAAGTACTGGAAAACTTGTCGCTTTTACAAGCTATGTCTAATAATGTCAATTCAATGTAATTATTTTCAGGATGATGCTGTTAGTATAGAAAGCGGTACTAACACTGAGCGCCCCGACACCCCTACAAACACCCCCAATGCACCAGGGAGGAAAAGCTGGGGAAAAGGCAAATGGAAATCGAAGAAGTGCAAATACTCCTTCAAATGTGTAAATAGTCTCAAGGTACGTACAAATAAGGCTTAAACTGATGATGTATGGTAGGTGATGGCATTGGTGCCCATTGTGTGTCAGATGCTGTGAATATAGAAATGGTGGTTTAAACAAATGTCTTGCTTGTTGTAAAACAGCCATAAAATCGTATTCATGTGCTCCCTGGGGATAAAGCTGATGGTCTTGGGACTGAGCAGTCTGTTCCCTTTGGTTCTCTCTTGTTTGTATGATGCTGCTCCGTGGTCTTACTCTTCCCGAGGGATGTTTTCATTTTAAAATCTGTAAGTGTTGAAGCTCATGCTGGGATTAATCAAAATGTTTAAAGGTTTTGGTTCTAAGCTACTGAACGGAGTTCTGTCATGTTTCAGTTATGTCTGTTTTCTAGTTTTTATCTATATTCTTCAGTTTCAGGCGTTTAAGTGCTCTTCTGAAAATATTTGGTATGGGAAAGGAAGGGAAATACGGAATGTTTTTTATCCATCAGGATCAACTGATGTTCTAACAATTCTTGTTAATTGCGTCCATAAATTGACTTTTGTGGTTTGAAGTCATGCTCCAAAATTGCCGTTAGCACCCCCATTCATTTAATAGCTTCTGAATTTGAATGTTGGTAAATATACTTCTGAAAGCAGGGTTTTTTTTCTGTCTGCGAGGTGGTTATTCTAGATTTTAAAAAAAAAAATTAGTAGAGGGCTAACCAAAAGCTAATTGAACTCAGTTTGAAGGTTCTCAGTGACTTAGAGTTGGCTCTAAGGAACGATCCTGTGTAAGGAGAGCCCAAATGTAAGAAAGTCTCAAGGTAGAATTTGAATGGTGTTGAGCAGGATAATTTTTAATAGACTTCTCTAAATTCTCATTGGACTGCACAACAGAAACTTGTATATTGACAAAGCTAAAGAGCCCTTGAGGTTGGGAATCTCTTGCTCCAAATTAATCCTGCAATTTTGAGCAGTATTATGGTAATGAGTACAGTCAAAATGATCATAATTAAACGTTCTATATGATCTGGAAACTTAATTCATGCCCCTTTGGGAAGCAGTTTGTACCACATGGTATGAAATTTACTAACCTTTGGGAGTACATCTCTTATACTCTAATGAAAAAGCAATGCAACAAGTTAAAGAAACTGAATTTCATGTTATTATCTGGTAGGGATATGTGGAATAAAATGTTCCTGTTCTCCTTCCCTATCATCTTTACTGTTTTTGTCCTAGTTTGTCCTTAAGGAAAACTTCAGTTGTGTTCATTCCTCACTGCTTTGGATGTAAAATCATTATGATTAATTCTGAAAAAAAACAGTACTCTAAAAATGTTTTTCCAACTTTGGTGTATGGGCAACTTTAGGCATAGCTTAAGTGCCAGGAAAACAAGTGTAACTTTCCAAATAAAGCAGCCTTAATTTCCTGTTAGTCTTATGCTACTTTTTGCAAACTAGTTATTTACATTCTATAAAGGTAACCAGAATCTTTTTCATTTTCTGGTTAGGATGTGGTGGGAAGTGAGAACTGGTATGTGTATAGACCCAAAGTTTAAGAAATAAATAATCCCAGTACACATGCATATGCACAGTAGAGTTTTTTTTTCTTTTTAAAGTGAATGTGTTTGTCTAAGAAAACAGCAGTTTATTGAGTTAATGTCAGTACCAAGGGTATATAACATATTTGTCCTTTGAAGTCAACCTCAGATTCTTGACATGATTATAGAGCTAGCTATCCATCTGCCCCCTCTTGGTATCTGGGTAATGTTAATAGTTTTGGTCTTGGTACCTGCATCAGGATGTCATTTCTGCAATTTTCCCCATTCTAACCAGGAGCAAGGTCAAACTACCTTATGTTTACAAACTGATTATCACCATTGAAACTCTCTTGACTAATTTAACCCCTTTCTGGTTGTATTTGTGTATATAGGTCTGACTGAAGTGTGATCATTTGGGTCACCTTCGTGACTTGTGATATGGATACACAGATTTTTAAAAATGTGTTGTTTTGTGTTTGGTTTTTTTTTAGCAATCAGAACAAATACCAGAATGGGGAACAATTGATCTATATCACTTGCCTTTAAGTAGTGGTGACCTAGGCAAGCTTAATTTTCTGCAGCACCTTGGTGGCTTGTCTGTGCTGGGGAGATGCTGGCACTTCCTGTTTAAGGGCACCCATTTGTAGGCTGTCTGGCCATCTTTTTAAATTTAAAAATATCTATCGATTGATCTATTGATCGATCAATATGTGTGTGTGCGCACGTAACGTATATAAACAGACAGGAATTGGTTGAGAATGTGAAGGTGGAAGATAATTTGGGTGACAGCAACCACAAAATGATAAGAGTTAAAAATCCTATGGGGCGGAAGGAAGGAGAGCAGCTGAATAAGGACACTGGACTTTGGAAAAGCAGCCTTTAATAAACTTGGGGACTTAGTGTGTAGGATCCTACGAGAGGCAAGCCTGAAGGGAAAAGTCATCCAAGAGAGTTGGCTGTACTGTAAGGGGAAGCTCTTTTAAGGGTGCAGGAGCAAGCTATCCCGAATGGTGAAAGAATGGAAAGTGCAACAGAAGACCAGCCTTGACTAGACAGCAGTGTCTTCAAGGAGTTGAAACTCAAAATGAATTCTATAAAAAGTGGAAATTTGGTTGCATTACTAGAGGAGAGTGTAAGAGTTTCATGTGGGCATGCAGGAAGAAAATTAGGAAGACCAGGGCACAGTCTGAGATGCAGCTGTCAAGGGATGTGAAAGGCAATAAAGAGGGATTCTACTGGTATGTCAAAAGTAAGAGGAAGACCAGAGAAACCATAGGTCCCTTATGGGATGCAGGAGGCAGCCTAGTTAGAGATGATGCAGACAAGGCTGAAGTATTTAATTCCTTTTTTTTTTTTTTACTTGAGCTTTCACAAATAATGGCAGCTCCTAGGTGGCAGTGCAATTGGCCTTAGAGGGAAGGAGACAAATAGCTTATAGTAATGGCAGAACATGTTGGGGAAGCTAGATGCTTTCAAGTTGGCAGAGCCAGATAGGGTGTACCAAAGGGTACCAAAGGAGTTGGCTAAGGTAATTTCAGAGCCATTGGCTATCCTCTTTGAGAACTCATGGTGGTAGCATGAGGTCTGGATGACTGAAAATGGGCAAATATAGTGCCCATCTTTTAAGAAGAGGAAGAAGGAGGATTCAGGGAACTACAGACCAGGTAGCCTCACCTCAATACCTTGAAAGGTCTTGGAGCATGTCCTCAAGGAATCCATTGTGAAGCACCTAAAGCAGAGCTTTCCAAACTGTGTGCCGCGACACATTAGTGTGTCGGGGGCAGTGTGTAGGTATGTCACGCGAAATGCAGAAAATTTTGCGGAAGGGCACCGCGGAGCTCCCTTACTCGCATCTGCTTCCCTTGGCCCCTCCCCTGGAACTTCCTAAAGCAGCTAACTGAATTACTGTGTCGCGAAATGATGCATGTCTAAAAAGTGTGTCACCAACATGAAAAGTTTGGAAAGCTCTGACCTAAAGAATAGGGTTATCAGGGAAAGCCAGCATGGATTCACGCAGAGCAAGTCATGCCTGACCAAGGTGAATTCTTTCTATGATAAGGTGATAGGCTCTGTGTATGAGGGGAGACCAGTGGATATGAAAGAGCTTGATTTTTAGCAAGGCTTTTGGTAGTCTCCTGACTGTTTCATTAACAAGCTAAGGAAATACAGACTAGATAGTTTCATAGTTTCTAGGGTTGGAAGGGACCTGAACAGATCATCAAGTCCAACCCCTGTCCTGGGCAGGAACGAGTGTTGGGATCATAACACCCCAGCTAGGTATCTATCCAACAAAATATCATTGTTAGTTAATAAAGGACATCCATTTTGGTCACCGCTTATATTGTTTTTTAGATTTATATTTGCCCTGTTCAGGAAGCCTCAAGGCCACTTAAAATAAATGACAAATACCGCACAGCTAAGGAACAATAGTAGACTCTGCAAAGTACACCACAAAATGTGAAAATTTGAGTCCTCGTCTTTCTTTCCCACTACTGCTTCCCTGCCTCGTACAAGCAAACGCTCCAGCCAATTCTAACTGTACTTCCCAACCCACATTTACATCTAGGCATAGGAAACCTTCCCATTCTCCTGCCTCAGGCCCATGGGAGTTCCTTCCCTCAATGTTACTCCCAGGTCATCTTCCCTGGGAGTAACAGAGGGTCTGTGGCTGTCCCAAAACAACTCTTAACTTCTCCCCCCAACAAACACAACATGAAATTCAAAAGAACCATAGCGGAAAGGTCATCTGAAAAATGTAAGGTTCTCCACCTTGGGAGGAAAAACCTGCAGCATCCTTATAGGCTTGGCAGTGCTACACTGGCTAGCACTATGGAAGAAAGAGACTTGGGGGTCATCATTGACCACAAGATGAACATGAGCCTGCAATGCGATGCTGTGGCTAGTAAAGCGACCAAAACGCTGGCTTGCATCCATAGATGCTTCTCAAGGAAATCCCGAGACGTCATTCTCCCCTTGTACTCGGCCTTGGTGAGGCCGCAGCTGGAGTACTGCGTCCAGTTTTGGGCTCCACAGTTCAAAAAGGATGTGGAGAAGCTCGAGAGAGTCCAGAGAAGAGCCATGTGCATGATCAGAGGTCAGGAAAACAGACCTTGCGATAACAGGCTGAGAGCTATGGGGCTCTTTAGCCTGGAAAAGCACAGGCTCAGGGATGATCTGATGGCCACCTATAAGTTTATCAGGGGTGACCACCAGTATCTGGGGGAACGTTTGTTAACCAGGGCACACCAAGGGATGACGAGGTCAAAGGGTTATAAACTATGGCAAGACCGTTTCAGTTTGGACATAAGGAAGAATTTCTCTACTGTCCGAGCCCCCAAGGTCTGGAACAGCCTGCCATTGAAGGTGGTTCAAGCACCTACATTGAACACCTTCAAGAGTAAATTGGATGCTTATCTTGCTGGGATCCTATGACCCCCGCTGACTTCCTGCTCTTCGGGCGGTGGGCTGGACTCGGTGATCTTCCGAGGTCCCTTCCAGCCCTAATGTCTATGAAATCTGAAGGGCACCCTGAAGCATCACCCTTTGGTGGCATCCCAAGGCAGGCCTCGCCTAGGGAGTTCTGTAGGACCTGCATGCTGTCTGGGTCCTTTTCCCTCAGTTGGGTTGGCCAAGATGGTTATAAGAGTCAATTGTCTTATTAGCTTTTAAGATTTATTATAATTGTATCTGTATCTTTTACAGATTTAGATTGTGCATAGTTATTTTAACATTTGGCAGTTCTGTCCTAATTCAACCAAATGCTTGGAAATCTGTTTTAATTGTTAACTTCACAGAGGTGTTGTAGCTAGGAAAATAATCACCATGTTTATACTGGGAACCTCTACTATTTCATTATAACCTTGTTAAAAAGTAGGACATACAACCTGCTACTGTCTGCTTGTGCCTGTTATGGACAGTTATAACCCATATAGTTTTTACCTGTACTTTTGATACACTTTATACTGTATACCTTATACTACGATTTGACTAATAGTCTGGATGTGTGTTGTATTAGTATAAAGAAATATTGATGTAGATGTAATCTGGCCTACACTACAAAGTGTTGCTGGCACGGCTACGTTGGTTGGGGGTGTCAGAAGACTGTTCTCTATTCAGAATAGCTATGATGGAAGAGGACCTGTCATTCAGAGGTGGGCGCTGTAGCTAAAGAGTCAGAAAAAATGCTTCTGCAGGTATATGTTGTGTCTTCCCTATGGAATTCTGCCATCATAGCTATGCTGGCACAGCTAGAGACCGTAGGCCCCTGGTCTCAGACACAAGTTGCCTCTTCTAAGGTCACATGACAAAAGCAGATACCAAAAACTACAAATAGAACCTGAGAGTGCTAACAATCAATCTCAGTCTTAAATCATTAGACAAAA